GTTTTTATATATAAATACTCGGGTTTTTCTGAATTTTTGGCTATACTAATTTAGATTCTTTCTTTCAAAATTTTGGAATATGATTTTAATCATTTGATGATTGCATGTTTTATGTACATGATCACATTTATCTAAAAAAGAAAAATACTTTTGCAGACGTTGGGTTAGACCGTTCATCATGACAATGAGTTAGTCCCTTACACGGGTTTGAATTCCCTCGTACATTAGATTAATTTAAACTATACTTTTATTAAATTTTTTATACTGTTTATACTAACCAAGTTTTACATTGTGTAAATGTGAAGAAAGCTTGTTTCCAACAACAAAGTGAATCCTAAGTTAGCCTAAAATTTTCAGTGCTGATATTGTACCCATAAGCAAACTACCTCATTTAAGAACACATGCTACACGAGATCAAGATATTAAGCTAAATTTTCAAAATAAAATCAAAATATCAAATACGAGAATGTAATTAGATAATGATACCCAAGACTACGACAAAGTATCTGTAACACCACATATCCATGAACTAGATTTTGAACTCACAGGGTGACTGCCAATCACATCTTAAAAACAACATTGACACAGAAGTATAAATCCATGAATAACAATCACAAGGTTACTAATCCCTCTTCCTTCGGCAATGACATACTAGGATCACATAAAACTTGGGGCGACTGGACCCTTTGACAGCCCGAGGCGAACTTCCATTGCATGATGTGTGTCTACAGGCCGGAGGGTTTCAGATTCACGAGGGTCTGCAATTGGCACAATGAAACATATAAAAACCAACACAACCAAAAGGTTAACGGGGCAAAACAGCGAAGCACCAAACTTCTCTGGGGCATTGTTCAAGAAAATGTGATTGGCTAAAGAAATTTGCAATAAACTGAAGTGCTCCCTTCCCATATTTTATTAAGAAGATTTAACCTTCTTGTAATCTTGGTCCAAGATTCTTGGATTCTATATGCATACCCCTTCTTAGAATCTAGCTTTTATATGTATACCCTAAAATGAAAATTCAAAACATATGTCTATCAACTGAACTCTGGGGAAATCAGACTAGGGCAGTATGAAATTAAAACCACATAAGCCAGTTCTAGGGATAAAAAGATTCACTAGTTTAGGGCAGAAATTTGACATTTTTTACTCAAGAAAATTTTTCAATTTATTACTTACTGATCCCTAATTGTTAAGACTCCAACTGATGAAAACATTAGACGAATTTAAACAAACTTTTCAAAGAGATAACACTGAACAGTTAGAACTTACAAAACTAATACCATTAAGTTGGTTTATGAAGAGTGTTTTCTTACCATTCAGGTAATCCTCAAAGCCAAAATCATCCAACCTTCCAGTCATAGCCTCCAAACCCAGCATTGATGAAGGAATTGCTCCAGCAGGCCTCTGAAATCTGTAATTGTTCAAAGAAATACATACAAAACGAAGACTCAAATGCAACTCCGAGTTTATACATTTATTATAGTATAAGTAAATAAACACTCAATGTTTGATGGTGCATTACTGCATGTAACACAAACAAAGATTTGATTGATGCTATAGCCTCCAGAAATATTTGCAGTATATGGACTTCAGAACAAACGATTCTATAAGATCTTTGACTCATACTCAGTATGGATATGCATTAAAACTTACAAGTAATCACAATGAAAATATAAAAACACCTCAAACTTATAACGAGCAGGTGATTTCCTTATGTATATGGTATAGCTTGAATGGTATCGAGCATGGCAATGACATCATTCATCCAGTTCAAATTCACCTCAATAAAACAGATATGTTAAATGCAGAGATGGAAATTATCAGCTCATCCCTAATAGAATTAAATTTTCAGCTGATTAGTTAGATATAAAGATGCAGACAGGGCACTGCCTAAGAGCACAATCTGTATAACGAGAGTAACACCTACAAAGACAACCGATAACCAATTTCTAAAGCAAAACTTTCCTACTCAACAACCGTTATAAATAACCAACAACCAATAATCACACAAACTGTATAAAGAGAGTAACACCTACAAAAACAAAAACACTAACAAACTTCTAATGAAAAAAATTCTTACGCAAGAACCCTTATGCATAACCAACAACCAATAATCACACAAAGGACCCCCAAAAAACCTATTAATTCAACTGGGTTTTAGCATAACTAGGCGTTAGAAACCATGATTTTATAAAATAAAAAACCCAACTTGCCAACATAGCACACACATTTTCTTCTATTGTAAATCATAACAATTTAGAGTAACCCATTACAACAATTCATAACAGCAGTCAGAATTTCATACCGAGAAAGGATTTGCCTTTCGAGATCCATCTTCAGTGGAAACGCACTTCCATAAGTGTATCCCAAGACTTTCCTATTAATCTGCTGCTGCTTCATCTTTGCCTAAACCCAACGAATAATTAAACACAAATCTCCAAAATTAACCACATATCTTCAATACTAAACAAGCTGCAACAAAACCTCAAGAGAGAGAGAGAGAGAGGAAATACCGATTCGTAAGCAGATTCGAGAGGGTGAGAGCCAACGAGGTCGCTCTTGACGCCTTGAAGTCCAAATCGAAGCGCATCGTTTTGGATTCCTCCGATTTGGTGCTCTATTGTCTTCGGTGCCTCCATTTTTCCTTTCTCTTCTCCTCCTCCTTGTTCTTCTTTCTCAGCAAGCAAAGTGTATTGTATTGTGTAGAGTCTACAGACTTTCGCTACAAATTATAAATAGGAGAAAGAGAGAGTCTTTTCCCCTTTTTCTTTCGCTCTTAGCCTTAATTCTTTTTTCTTTATTAATTATTTTTGTTGGGCCAATTGGGTTTTAGCAACTAGCCTATTTGGGCTCGAACCGGGCCCATTCTGATTCAGTTGGACTTAAAACTTGTTCGTGTTTGCTTGTTTGGGCTAGGTTGTCGTACTAGCCCTTTGTGTAATTGCACTTGTTTTTATGAAGCCCCTTGTATAATTACCATAGTCGGTAAAATATGGGATTGGTCGTAATATTTTGAAATTGTTCTGAAAATCATAGGGTTAGAAATTCGGCTTGTATTTTATTTTTTACTTTTTATATTTGTATAAGTGTATTACTAAAAAATATATTTTTTAACCAAGGTGGTTGATGTGAGTGGTTCGGCACTCTCATTCCTTAAGAGAGGTCAAGGGTTCGATCCCTGCTCTCGTACGGAGTCACCACTTTAGCCAACACTTTACCCCTTATGGGCCGACCCAGTGTGAGTGGGGATTAGTCTAGGTTGTGGTTAAGGCTTAAAGGTGCCACCCATAGTTGGGGCTCATCCAGGACCACCTCATGGTTCAGACCAAAAAATATATATATATATATTTTTTTAAAATATAAATTATTCTTGAAAAATACTAAATGCAATGCGCGAATAATATCAGTAAAGACCAACGATTGTAGACCAATTAGTAGAAATTAAATTGTTAACCCAAATGGAACTTATATAATAAGGGAGTATTTTTGCTCATCACTTTAACCTATGACCACCTTTTCAACACTTAACACGTGTCCATAAGTATAACAATGGTTACAAAAATCAACGTAAAAAGTTTAACAATGATTATGCCTATGGACACGTGTCAAGTATTAAAAAGAGTGGTCAACATGTGTATTGGGTTAAAGTTGTGAGTGAAAATATTTCCTATATAATGAGGGGGACTTGGGGGAAATTTCGGACCTAGATTGAACAAAATAGGGGACACACACACACATATATATATATATATATATATATATGAAAATTTATCAAACAAAGGGTTTTTCACATGTAAGCCTATAAATAGAGCCCAAAATATAGAAAAACTCTACAATATCCAAATCTTAGAAGGAAAAAAAAACTATTTAACTTTTTAAATGGGCTAAATATACCATACAACCCTTGAAAAACCTAAAAATACAACAATCCCATTGGTGGTTTTTTTCTTTCTAAAAATCATAATGCAAGGATAATGATAGTATTTCACACATCATTCAAATTTTTTTATAAAAAAAATTACAGCTAGCCTTCTTTGGATTTTTTTTCTTCTTAAATTTATAAGTTTTAGGGTTTATATATAAATTCAATGCAAGAAATGAGTTTAGGGTTTTATTATAAATTTCTCATAAGGGGCAGAATAAGGAAGTTTTTATGGTGACTTCGATAAAGCCATCATGCATTCATTTCTTGAATTCATATAAATGAGGAGTGTATGATGACTTTTTTGAAGTTCCAACAATAGTTTTCTACGGTAATACAGCGAAGGCAAGGTTCTAGTATTATTTTTTTCATGCAAGCGGCATTATGGGAGAGGGTTTTCTCACACACACTGTCAAGGTATCATGAGAATTCGAATATGAGACCACTAGTTTGTAAATCAAAGCCTTTTTTTCACTGGACTAGATCCCGTTGACAATACAGAGGCAAGATTTGAAAATGATAAGGTGCTATCATGATGGACGAAAATAAATCCCAGCCATCAATAATTATTGAGGCATGATCAAAATGAAACTGAAAGCTTCTAGGTGGTGGGTGTCTTTCCCAATCCTTATTATTGATGCATGCATAAAGAAAATTACTCAGGACTGACCTATGACAATCTCTATCTATATACAGAATAGGTATAGAGGTACTAGGGCACCATACTTGAATATTGTAGTAATGATTTTATTTCTTGTTTTAGGCATTGGGGGAATTAAAAAGAAGCAGATTCTGTTGGGTATTATATTGGATATGGGGTATGTCCTCCCTGACAAAGTCGGCAATTGAATAAATATTAGTACACAAATCAGTCACTGTTCATCCATTTGGTACACCATATTTTATATAATCAGGTACAAATAATCAGTCACTATCTGGAGCTCTCAGTCTACAGTATTATATACGTATAGAAAATTACCAGTACAGTACTATATTATACCTCATGCCATGGCCAATATAAGCCACACCTTCAGTCAGTCTGTAAGTAGAAAGTAAGACCCTCTTTATTCTCACAGTGAACACAAATATCTCACTGCACAAATTTAATGAACAAATATAGAAGAAAGAGAGAAAGAGAAGAAGTTAACATCACCGCCGTCACTTCCACTGTTACAGGTAGCTCTTCAACTTCACCGTGGGTATGTATGTTTGCACTCTCTCTGTCTCTCTCTCTCTCTCCAAAGGCTGTTTATGCAACATGAGGCTCCTTTTTTTGATTTCTCCATCTGTTTCTTTCTTCCTTTTTCTATAAGGTGCATGCTGTTGTCAGCTTCAGTTTCATAACTTGAATCATTTTGTACACTTTCCTAGCCTGGAAAGTCTCCAAATCTAGATCTCTCTGTTTTTGTTTTAATTGATGATCCAGTTCTTGCATGTTGTTGGGGTTGTTTTTTTTCTGTTAATTACAATGATAAAATATTTGAACTTTATCTTCTGTTGTCTCGACCCAACAGCTCATTTACTACTTGAGAGGTAATAATCATGACCATGCAAGTCTTCTTCAATCTGCAGGTGACGTAATTTGACTCCAATTTAATGTACATTTCCTATGTTTGTTAAAGTTTCAAAGTTTGATGTGGCTTTGAAACCAGAATTGACTGTTCTAACTTTTATTGTTCTGGAAGTGTCCTTCATTTTTTTTCTTCATATCTTCTCTTTGAAACAAAATTCCAAGTGCTTCGTCAATCCATTTTCTTTCAAACGACTTACAAAGATTTGATCGAGACCGACCCTCTTTACTTGCTCTCTCTCTCTCTCTCTCTCTCTCTCTCTCTCTCTCTCTCTCTCTCTCTCTGTAGACTCTAAAAAGATTAAATAAGGACATACTTCCTAAAAATTATTGGGGTAGGTAGAACAAAAGTTGAGTAAATTGGGGAAGGAGGGCAGGGGGAAAGCTAGGGTAGGGCAGTTGCATTAAAAGATTTCAATTATCTCTGTCTACCGGACCACTGATTTTCCCTAGCAATAGAAATCAAAGTCGATGACTAGCTAGCTAGTACGTACGTACAAATTATTTATATATATAGATAGATCAATATAAATATCCAACTTTAATATATAAAGAAATAAATCTTATGGCATGCGATATTGCTAGTAGAATTTATCTCTACTTTTGTGTGTATGTGTGTGTGTATTGTTCAATGCATGAGAAGCATATTAGAAAACAGAAGCCTTTTGGACTAAAATAATATTTCATTCACTCTATGCAGACATAAATGGAAATAAAACACATGTTGATACTCTTCTTGTTACAAATCTCAACTTCTGAGTGTCAACTCATAGGAGTAATATCAAACTCTCCGCAAAAGATCAATTCAAACTCATAATAAATCGAAATATTTTTTGTTGTACAAACTGAAGTTCAATTGGAAGGGGAGATTCTCCAATTAGTCATATTTCCAAGCTTATCCCACTTGGTCTTATCTCCTCCCCATGGTATGACATATATCAGTCTAAGGCATCTTGATCAATATATGAAACCATCGATAGAAGTCATATGATCGATCACATTTATGGGGAAATTCTCCAATAAGTATTTATGTCAAGGATTGATTACATACTTCTAATCTATCAACAAATTTAATAATTGCAATTCAACGGCCATTAGAAGTATGTAATTAATTCTTAACATAAAATACTTATTGGATAATCTCCCCACATTTATGATCAATTCAGAAGGTACGTACATACGTACCAATAAACCCATCCTCTGATGGAGATCTAGACTTCCTAATAAACTCATCATAGCGTCACAATGTTATATAGGACAACCTTTTCATTTACCTAGAACTTAGAACACTGTAGCATAACAAAGCTAGGAAGAAGGAAATTAAATCACAAACCTTTCCAAATTTAAACAACTGGAGTAAGACATTAGTCCTTTCGCTGATCCAGAAATAGAATTTGAATGAACTTGAATTTCTCAGATTCTTAATTGATTAAGAAAGCCTTTGATCAATGGATGTGTGTGTGTGTGTGTGTGTGCATACATCTCCCTTTGGATAAGAAACCATAATTATATGGACAGAAAGACACACCTACTAGTGAGTTCTGATTGTTTTGTATATAGCATATATACATATCCCTGTTTAAATTGTGTCCTATATGTATGTATATGTTGTATCTGGCTAAGTTATCCAAGCCAATGAATTTAACAGAAAAATATGTTACCATTAGAAGTGAAAAATGCTGATCATCATTTGTGGTTTTGATAAGTGAATGAATAATTGAAGTGGTATATATAACTTTGATCCAGTAGAAGTACTACTCATGCATTGTTAAGGAAAACCATCTTCAATTCGATCATTCTTGTAACTCCTGGCCAACTGTAAAACACAGTGGATCAGGTGGCTCAATATAGATCTATAGATAATGAGCATACAAAGAAATACATTAACAGAAATTTAGCTTACACTCCAATGTTAACAATCTGGACGATAATCGATGTAGTCGTTGATAAATTCGCAACAAATTGCCCCCCAAGTTTTGCCATAGATTTAATTTCCTACAGATTTGAGATCATGATTATTAAATCTAAAATCAGGATCAAAAAGAGTAAAAGGGTTTATATTTTTGGACAATATAAAGATATATACCAGTAGAAAGATTGATGCTGGTAATGGCACAATGAATGTTAGGGCATGGGAAGGCGCCATTGGTGTCCCAATTTTGAAATGCATTGGGAAATTGGATGTGGCTGTTGGAACTCTGATCTGTACTTTCTGCTGACACCACATTGAGATACTTTTGCTGATTATAATTGGAATAACCTGATGAATACTGCTTCAACTTGTTTCTTTTGATGACATGAACAGATGGATCCTCCTCATGATGATGAGCTAACTGATTAGCTAGGAGGGAGCCCAGTTCTTGATTCTCAGGATGATCTCCAATATTGGCCTTTGCTGAAGATGATGACATTGTTTCACAATTATTGTTAGATTGATGGTGATCAAGCTCGTTGAATAACTTCAATTGGTTCAACATCTGAGGCCCGCTCCTAGTAGTGCACATTAATTTCTCTCTTGTCCTTTCCCTTGCCCTTGCTCTTGCCTTTGCCCTCGAGTCTTTCATGCCATAAACATTAGCAGATTCAGATTCTTTCATCTTCTTCTTCATCATCAACATCACCTCTTTTTCTTTGCTCGCTACGTTTTCCACCTCGTTTGTGTCTGAATCGACGTCATCGTCATCACACTCTGAACTCGAAGTCAAACTCTTGGAACGCCCAGTGCTAGTACTGCAGGTCAAGTGTTTGTTCCGAGTCCCAAGCTGTTTGATGGCCTTTCTTGACTTGGTGAGAAGCCATTCTAGGGTTTTACTTGCCTTGTCAAACCCTAGCAGGTCTTGGAGGTCAAAGAATTGACGGGCAACATTGATGGACAGTCTAACCCTCCGGTCCCTCAAGCCCTGAGCAGTGAAGATCTTGCTGTGCCGATCTTTCTTCATCGGCGGCGCTACTATATCTTCTCTAGAAGAATGAAGGAAATGAGGAAAAATATTACCATTGTTAATGGCACCATAGTGACTATGGTAGGGATGATGATCATCAGCGTTTATGCTAGGAGGTACAGTGTTTGATGAAACTCCCAAATGGGTCAAGCTTTGAGGAAGAGGAGGTGCCATTAAGGCATTGTTATGAAGTGGAAATTGACCAGAGATGGGGTACCCTTGAATATTGTGGTGAAGGAAAATGTCTCCACTACAAGGCTCTTGGTTCACACAGGGAAGAGGAGGAGGAGGAGGAGGAGGAGGGTGGTAATTTGAAGAAGACAAGGGAAAGTAAGGTTGAAAAGGACTTACAGAAGTACTATTAATATTGCTACTGCAAGATGAAAACATGATTTTTGGTTTGAAAATCAATTGACAGCTCCTTCTTGTACAATATATATCTTTGTTAAGAGAGATTCTTCATACCCATTTATATATCTTCCTCAAAACTTTACCTTTTCAGAGCCACTGATCTCTCTCTCTCTCTCTCTCTGCAACTTCATATATATGCATCCCCGCGTGCTCTGAGAAAGAAGGGGATGAAATATTATGAGTGAGTGAGACTGAGAGATGATGATGATGAATTGATAAAACCCCAAAAGCAATAATATAAGTGTTGGAGACAGGTGATGGTTGAGTTTTTGGTTCTTTTCTCTTTGTTTTTTCCGGTCAACTATTTCTTGGGTAGAATGGTTATCCCCAGGGCAAAGTCTTGAACGTACAGTGTGTGTGCAGAGAGAGATATTAAGAGTGGGGGGCTAATGGATAACTGGACATGGAAAGCGCACGATGTGTGGGTTTGTGCCACTTAGTTTGGGACACACACCATAACAAAACCGGGGACTGATGGGGAATTTGACAACCCTTTCAACTTTTAGACCCGTTATAACTTATAATTAATTCATCTTCAGAAAAAACCAAAGAGAATACAAAATAATTAACTAGGGTTATCTAGGTCTAACTAGGGCTAGGCTAGGCATCATCACCTCCTCCTATGGAATTTGAAAAGTGATCAGGTAATTAACAGTAGCTGGGTAAGCTAAGCTACCTTTTTCTTTTCTTTTTTGGGTAAGCTGCTGGTGGTTACACTTACATGCACCTCCTGGCTCCTCCTCCATGTACGTGCGTATAATTCGAATTGTAGGGGGCCCTAATTCGTTATGATCAATTCTCAACAAAAAAGTTTAGGCGTATGCAAGGGATCAAATCATTTTTGGCTTGGAAAGGGAAAAAAAAAAGAGTCTTTAGGTTTTCCAAAGGCCGTGAGTTGAATTGTCTGTGGTGGCCGTAAGCTGTGCATGTGCAAATTGAAAATGTATGGATATATGCTAGCTTTTCTGCACATGCTTTTGTCTTTGACCAGCTTTAGTGAAATGAGATATTAGTATCGCTTTCACATAAGAGTCTAGAAGAGTGATTTTAGGGAGGAGGCGAGGATCAATGGAAAACAATAATTCATGTCGTGTCGATCGAGTGTTCCTTTGTGTTGTATTAGTACAACATACATAGCAAAGTGTTAGGAAATTAGGCAAGCGTTAGCGTGAATCCATACTAATTCTAAATCTGTAACGCTAGTTTTTAGTCTAACGATACTTCTCTTTTCAAAATTGAAAAAGTCCCACTTCAAATCATCCCTCCTTACTTGAAGTGAGATTTTTTATTTTATTTTAGGCCTACTTTGTTATTTGTACAACATTTTGCTCTCCCTCTCTCTCTCTCTCTACTGTACACCCTGCACCCAGGCGCCACAGCCGTTCACAGCCATTCACAGCTAGCTACAGGAAGACGATAAGGGCTTGACGACTAGGCATGGTGGCCAAGCGACATGAAAACCTTGATTTAAGCCCTCAAAGGTTTGGATTTTTAATGTTGTTTCAAGGACAATGTGATTAGATATATTCGTACGAAGAAGATAAGGATATGCGCTCACGATGGGTGTGAATGGTTGAGAGGTAGCTAGTGTGCCATGTACAAAATCCATTAATAAAAGGCTAGCTTGCTTTCAATTTAATGCATTGGCTTTGGCCTGCAAGAGTACCTAGTTCTTGTCAAATAATAATGTGGTGGTCATTTCCTTTTCAATTCCACTACAAATGTTCATATAGACAATGGTCCATGCTCTTCTTTCTTACATGTCCCTTTCTGATATAATTAGGAATTAGACACTAAGGTATTTGTAATTATTATTAACCTCTAACAAAGGCCAATTTATTAGTTGCTATACATATCTGCGATGACCACCCACACGGTTGTTTGCTGCTTAATTGCACTTCACATGCTCAAAGGGCAACTTCCCTTTCAAGACAGGTAGAACTGTCCAAACCCCACTTAGGCAACTTGTTCCCTTTCCATCCAAACTCATTGAGCACCAATTATATATACATGGGTTTCCGTATTGCGTACGACTTTTATTAATAAGTTTTTTTGTTTGTTTTTTTAACGACTTTTGTTTGTTAGTTTGATACAGATTGTATATCAAAAATCTATATGTTTATCCGAAAAACCCTAGCCGACTAAGAGAGAGAGAGAGCACTTCAGATCCGGGGGGGTTCTCTGACTTCTAGTTGATCTATGACGATATGGTTTTCCTTTGGCAAACCTATGCTCTTTGAGATGTTGTTGCTTAGTCATGATTGTTGATTGGCACGTTGGAGCAATTATGTGGCGCTCTCTATGTCATGTCCCAGATGAAGATTATCGACATTGTTTTAGAATCTTGGTCTTTTGTGGTCAATAAAATCCATAAACTTACTTGAGTTTGCTGATTATTCTTAGTCTCTTTAGGAGAGTCATGTCGGTTAACGGCCAATTTTGTCCTTGATGTCATTGGTCTAGATTTGGGGAAACTATATCGGTAGAAAGGGGTTATAGAAAAGTTATTTTCGAGAGTGATTCTCTCAAACCGAAAAGCTGATCAGCTTTTCGACTGATTCAAGTCATTGGAAAGTTTTTACCCATGTCTATCATATTGCTATTGGGATGGCTCCTTCTACAGTATGTGCCTTTTGTACTCTTTTTCCTTATTGATCTAATAAAATGCTATCACCTTTTTATCCAAAAAAAATTCTATATGTTTACCTAGAATGAGAACTATTCTTGTTTAATATGAATTCATGTCTAATGATAATTGCACTCTAAGAATCAATATTATAATCTACACGCAATTAGAAGAGAAGCCTCTACATATATAGATATCCATTGTGAATTAATCAACATTACATATCAATAGGGTGTTAGTTGGATTGGTCCATGCTTTTGTTGTGCTCTCAAGTGGTCCTGGATTCAAGTCCCCATGCTACCTGTGTGTGTGTGAGTTTCCCCCCTCCTCTTTCTAATAGTAGTAGCAAATTAAACTCTTCAAATTAAAATTTGTTGACCTATGTGGTAATTTGAAAATATTTATCCCAATAAGATACCTTCGACAAAGCAGGAGTTTTGAGTGCAGGTAAAGGGATTGCCTCTAGTGTTCATGACTAGGGTAATGGGTAGAGAAATAACAAAATAAAAGAACAATTTAGATGTTTGAATGTTTTTTAGCAATTAAAAGATTAATTATAACTCAAAAAGCAAAAGACAACAAAAAGGAGGAGGAAGAAAAGGAAAGGAAAAGAAAGAAGTAGGAAACCTGTTACACCGGGTGCACTATAGATGGCCTTCGCCAACAAAACAAAGGGGTACCTTTCACCTACAGTTACGATCTTTGTAACACATTATGTGAGTTATCAGTCTTATGACATCTGTCATCTGATACACTTTGAAATTTATATATATATATATATATATATATATATATATATATATATTGCGTACAAGCTTCTACTTAATTAGGTGCATGGTCTTTTCAGCATATAGCCTGGATATATATATATAAAATATGTACCGTAGCTAGAATATTGTATTACCTAGATGAAAATCAAATCAAGTAAATCTACCATAGCTATAGCTAGTTAGCCAGTTAGTCAATACTTTAAATAAATAATAATAAAAAGTGGTGAAAGTAGATAGGTTTTTTTAGGTTATATTTAACCAGTTGTTAAATGATTTCATGATAATTTATTTTGACCAAAAAACCAGATGAGGGAAGATTTTATTCTTCTGCTTTTCCCAAAAAGATTTTCTATTTTCTATTTTACTTTTTTGATTGAAGGTTTTTTTTATTTATACATGCGATAATTTACTTTAACTAATCTAAACTACGAGAAGAATGATTCGTACTTGAGTGCAAAGTGAGGAGCACATTAACTCTAGTTAACCTCAAAATTGGATGTATTGGAACTTTTTAATAAATTTTCTTTTTTAGAAAAATAAAAAGAAGCTGCCTAAAATAGTTTTCATAGATACTAAAAAGAACACCAAGCAGTAAAACAGTACTGTCATAATTTTGTATTCAAACAATTAAAACCTAAACTCTCTCTCTCCCCCTCTCTCTCTCTCTCTCTCTCAAACACACACAGAACGAGGTTTATGTATGACGAAGAGTGAGTACGTAAATATTTAAGATAAAGAGGAATACGAACTGAAGCTAATCAGTATCATCACTGTTAGATCTGCCTGCATATAAGCTCATAGGAAACTTTTGTGAAGAAATCTCTGATCTCAGGTAAGTTGTTGTTCATTTGCAGATTAATTTCTTTTTCGTTTCCTGCAATCGAAATAATATTTTTGGTTATGTTAGTTTGAATGGAAAGCAATTTTCCAGGAAAAGAGTTTCTGGGTTCTTCTATAACATTGAATCTCGTTAGGCCCCTTTTTTTAATTAATTGTCAAGATTGTATGTATATACAAGCTGTGGGATCTTTGATTCTTTGGCACATGAATAACCTTTATACTGTCTAGATTATTTTCAGTATACATGTAGAGAGATGTATGTAACTAGTGTGAACTTAATTATGAAAGATGTATATATGTAGAAATTCTTATGAATAAATTGATTGAGAAAAACCAAAGAAGATCGAAGATTGTTGAGTTGGACCTTTGCTGCATAGTTTGTGGCTCCTTTGGTTGGTGTGTTGAGTGTGAAACGATGATACAGTGCTTAATTAGCTTTCTCATACAACATCATATGAATAAATACCTCAAGCTTCACTCAGGTTAATTGTTATAACGGTAGACCAATTCTGACAAATTCTAGTTTTTTAGCTTTGATAGATCAGCCATAACTAGCCGTTTAAGGCAAGAGATGAAAAACATGTTGTGAAAAAATCGGCAAAGCCGGTTTTTGGGGCAAGTTCTACTTATGAGTTTTTAACACAAGATTAATCTTCTAAGCCATGAAACTTGGATTAGCTCAAGATAAGGCTTTCATGAAATGTTGGTGATTCAGTTGCATTCCCTTGGTTATAATAGAGTGATACCTCTTGGTTAAGTTGGTTTCTCTTGTTGTATGTGCTGACAGAATAAATCTCACATGTGAGAATGTATAGTTTTGCATTACAATATATTACATCTTGTGTGCCTCTCCTCCCACTTTGGTTTTAATACTCTTCTATAGAGTTGTTGACATATTATTATATGTACAAATTTTCTCCGTTTGGATATTATTACCTTGTTGACGTCATATATTTTTTATTATCCTTTCATGCATTCCTTTATATTTACAATGGCGTTTGCACGTTATTATTGTTCAGATGTCCGGATGAGAGAAGAACTGATTACAAATACCTGTTTTAAATTCACTTGCGATTGTATATAAGGGTAAATTTTGACTTATGTTTATATATAGTAGCGTGTACTAATCATGCTTCCCATAAAACTGTTGCTTTTTGTTTGTGATTGTCGTTTTTGGGTGTATAGTTTGTTTTTCTTTATATTAATTATGTATATCTTCTTTCATAACACATGTAAGCTTTTGTTTTTGTAGCTTTTGAGGCATAGATTGTGTTGCTGAAGTTAGTCGTTATTATATGATAAGGAGATGTGATGGAATACCTAAAATGAAAATTTGAGATATTCTCTCTGAGAGCTATTGAAGTAAGTAATCATATTTGGTTGGTGGATGGAGCCTAATATTTGTTGTCAGTAGTTATCATGTACAAGAAAGAAATCCAGTATCTTTGTAGGTTGATTTGGATGTGATTGGTGCAAAAATATCAGACATGGCATTAGTTGCTTTAGGGAAAGTACTTGGCAGCCTATGACTTTTTAGGGGGAACAAAATGTTGTCTCTGGATTGTTGGTTGTCCTAGAGTATTTTCACTCATTTGTTATGGCAAGAGATATTATTATTCATATAAATAGTGCATGCCTTAGCAATTTTTTGTTGGTTTTCCACTCATTGCTATGGCAACCGAAGGGCAACCACTATTCACATGAGATATGAGGAGAGAAATTTGTATAAAGTTAGTATTGATTAAAAAAAAAAATCTTAATTTTTTGATTTTTTTTCCCTTTTTTTTTCAATTTTTTTTGTTATTTAAATTGGCTGCAGACGTCAACATTAAGTCATTTTGCCCAAGCAGCAGCCCAAGCAAGTCTTGCCTTGGGCCTTGACCGGGCTGGTGGAGCCCAGTGCTTGCCTTGGCAAGCCTTGGCCCCTAAAAACGGAATTGGGGGCCTAGGGGACCTCTTGCCCGGGCTAGCCCCTCCTGTTGGAGTTGCTCTTATTGGAGGTATTTTTTTCACAAGGTCCAGCATTTAATCAAGATTATTTGCCCCTCCCCTATAATCTGACAATTTCTTCTAATCTAGAAACAGACAATAGGTTTTGATTTATAGGAAAATTCTCCAATAAGTACTTTATGTTAAGGATTTGTTATATATTTCTAATTTTGATCGTTGGATTGCATGTTTGTAGAATATTAAATCTAGAAACACATCTAATGAATGCAATCCAAAGGCCGAGATTAAAAATATATAACCAATTCTTAACTTAAATACTTATTGGAGAATCTCCCTGATTTATATCCCATATTCAACCCTTTACATTCATATCTGTACCATAAGGGGATCAAAAGATTGGTACAAATGTGTTGAATGTGCTTGTGTTGAATTTAAATTTGGTTGGTTTCTTTGAAAATTGGGAGAAAATAACTGTTATGTGTTATTTAGGGCATATGGTACTTGTTATATGTGATTAATATGAGAAGTGAGATGCTTTGGTTGTGAAATGAGGACAAGAATTTGATATTGACTTCATTTTTAATAATAGCTTCATTAATTTCTTGTGGTAAAAATTGGACTAAGTCTCCAGTTTTTCCTTACAATCTTATATATAGAGAAATTTACATCTATACCTTGTCAATTGGGGACAGACAAACCCCAATTGCTGCCTTTCTGAAAATGAAAGAGATATATGAAGAGAGGATGCAGTTGGAAGTCCTATTGGAAGTGCTAAGCCAAGCTTAACTTTGATGACGGAAAAAAATGCATGTCTGAGAAGCTTTTGATGCACATTAACAGAGCTCGAATATGAGGTTCAGCATGTCTTAGTTAGATCAGTTCATGATTTCCTTTTCTTGTAAGCCGATCTGATAAATGCGATCGGTACATGTTATATATGCGATACATTAGCGCATCACATTGTGTCACACATTTTGAATATCTGAATGGCTTCAATGCAGATGAAAAATTCTTAGTTTCATATTCTCATCAGCTTGAATGGTTCTTATAGTTTTCTCATCATGTGTTTTTGTGCAGGCATTGGCTTAATTTCCTCAACTTTCCACAAACTGATGTGTGATCGATCCTTATTAATTAGGGAATATGTGCAGATATAGACTACCGGGAGGACACGGGTTTGCCACAGAGAGAGAGAGAGAGAGAGAGAGAGTTGGGTATATTTTGTATATTCTAAGTCTAGTTTGTAAAGCCTCAATGGCTGGACCTTTTTGCTGCTTCATTTCCAAACAGAGAGGATTGATGAGGCAGGCAGGCTGGCAGGCATGCTCTGCTGCAGGCCTGCACCCCAAAAGGCTCTAAACACATTGGGCCCCGGAAACAATCGCAGTATATATGGAGCAAGTCCCAGTTGTGTCATGGATAGCTTTATCGCATGCACTTAGGTTGTTTTTACACGAGAGGAAATACAGAGTAGTCCTAACTTGTATCATAGATGTCCGCTATCTATAAATTAGACCCAAAAATACGTAGGGACAGATTTAGAATTTCAAAATGAAGTGGGAAAATGTATTTTTTTTTCTTTTTTTTTTTTATGAAAAAAGGGGGAAAAAATCCCCAAGGAACCACCTACACCAACATATTAGTAGAAACTAGTCGAGTTTTAGTAATTCCTAGCAAATCATCAATCAAACTAGGCCCAACCCAACTGGAGCATCAACAATAATATAAAGACCCAAGTCTAAGTTATAGTTCCAATTTGCTAAACAATCAGCAACACTGGTTTTCTCTCTGTAAACATGATAAACACTGTAGCAGTTGATCTTATGCATCAAATCCCAGCAACTAGCAACTAAGGCTGCAAGTGGATGAACATCAATAAGGCACTGTTTCTGGATCAATTGGACAGCAAGTGCTGAATCCATGCTCTCTATTTTGTAGTTAAAATTTAGCTAAGAACGTATAAAAGTTATTTTGGGAGCTCTTTATAAAATTTTAATTCCAATCATACTCTCTAGTTTAGGGAGTTATAAATGCTATAACTCTTTTTTAATTGGTCCATTTATATATTTAAAAAAATAATATAAAAAATCGTTAGCATTAATTAAAAATTTAAAATACTCATAAAATAAAGCAGCATTAAATTATAGGGAGCCACAACTAGGAGTTCTTTCTCTCTCCTTAGATTTAGGAGCTCCTAGAAGTCTCTCTATTTTAGGAGGTGGATAAAGAACATAGTTAGAGTTGTATTTTTCCAATTCCTCCCTAAAATTTGTCTAATGAGGTGATTTAGGAAGCCCATTGTGGATGCTCTTAAATATTAAGTTGGGGTAAACTTGAAAACCTATCTTACTCACCTAAACTATAGCTTAGTTTAGACACTTCATCGGTCAGTCGCTAGAAAAATAAGAGCCGAACTTTTATCATAATTAAAAATAAGCATTGATATCTCAAAAAAAAAAACAAAAACAAAAAAAATACAAAATCTATGTAATGTAAGTACTATGCTATAAAGGAGGATGGCATTGGCATTGCACACCCTATTTTGTGCATAATTTGGGTTAAGATGAGTAAATGATTTGTTTGTAGACATGTTAATCAAGCGAGATTTACCATCTTATCCAAACAAAGCTAAAAACAAAAAAAGTTAAAAATAAAATAAAAAGTTGAAAACTATGGTATGAACGAAAGAACTAGTCATCTAGCTTGAATTGAAAAAGAATCAGACAGTTGTTGTGGAGGACGCAGAGGTGGGGCTTGAGTATTAAGGGGTGCACGTGGGCATGATAAAGCTGCCATTTTGACCAATCACACACTTTGTCGCTTTCTCAATTATGAGGTGGCGGATTGTGATTGGTTCTAGAAGAATTTGAAAAAAAAATATGAGTGGTTTACCTTGCTTGGCCTACTCATACGTACATTATTTTTTTCACTGTCCTCTGTTTGGGTCGGGACCAAACAGCAAACAGTAGGAAAATACTGTTGGATTCTGACTCATCTGGGATTAATACATATTGCACGTGCATGAGAATTATATTATCAACATATTCATAAATTTATTGAGACACACTTTCCCAGTTTCATATCGTCAATTTAGTGAGTGAGTGAGACCATAGTTTTGGTTAATTTTCACAATTGCATGAGGGTTCATAACTGGTTTTAGATATGAGTTATAGAGACCTCATATCCCATCTTAGCTCATATGTTTAGAACAACCTCGTCTGCATGATTGATTGATTATTGATCGTTATTGCATTGTAAGTTCCACTTGCATCAACGATCGACATGAATGACTATCTCAAACATATACCCCGAATGCGAGCGGCATCACCCAAACCCATCCCCAATGAGCTCCGCTCCATTCCACATCTCTAAGCAGCACATGGAGTCTTGACTTAGGTCTATTTTAGCCTGCAGCTTTCATTAGGGAGTTAGGTGACTGTGTGTGTACAAGACCCATACCTAATTTCATCTTGCTCTTACAGCTAGCGCTTCATTAGGTATCTGTCGCGTACGCCTTCCTTCTTAAGCGCGTTTGCTGGAGTGATCCTGCTTACAAATTTGTAGGTATCAATATGTGCTTCAATCAAATCTACAGATAAGGTTGCTAATTATAACAAAATGACAAGCCATATTCACATTGTCCTGCACAACTCATGCTATTCTATTTATATAAACAACATTATCCTTCCATTTGCTCATGCTAGTGTGTCTTCATCAAAGCATGGAAATTTCATGGACTATATATATCTGATAAAGACTACTATATTAGTTTATACATTGGTTTTATTTTATTTGTATACGAGCAATAGTGAAAGAGGGGGGTTTCGAGCAAAGGACTTCAATTGTGTGAGTAACTGCTCTTAACTACTTGAACTATAATCAATTCTTAGTTTATACGTTAATTGGTACTTATGTATCAAGTTAACTCATGAATAAGATGTTAAACTAGTTTGTTTCTGTATGTGTGAAAATAGCATGATGAGATACTTATGTATCAACTTAACTCATGAATAAGATGTTAAACCATCAAAGCATGGAAATTTCATGGACTATATATATCTGATAAAGACTACTATATTAGTTTATACATTGGTTTTATTTTATTTTTATAAGAGCAATAGTGAAAGAGGGGGGTTTTCGAGCAAAGGACTTTAATTGTGTGAGTCTTTAATTGTGTGAGTAACTGCTCTTAACTACTTGAACTATAATCACATCAATTCTTAGTTTATACGTTAATTGGTACTTATGTATCAACTTAACTCATGAATAAGATGTTAAATTAGTTTGTTTCTGTATGTGTGAAAATAGCATGATGAGATGAATGGTGGTAAAAGTAACAGGAGTAATTTTGTTTTGGGATGAAGAAGATGAATCCAAAGTAGAATTAAAATTGTCCAATCATATGGTACGACCCGCATGTGATCACCCATACTTTTTTTCAAGATGCATTTGAAAGCTGAGTTGACAACACCATAAAATTCAACAACAAAAATAAGAAAAAAGTTACACAGAATTTTGACACGATATACAAAACACTCATCACCAATGACATTACTTGGCTAGCAATAATATATGGAATCCTGCTTTCTTTTTCTTCCGGGAATGTATAGCTAGCTCTCCCTTTGGATCTGCTTCTGCTTCTCCCTGCTTTATTTATATGACTAAAGATATTTAGCTAGTATTTTAACCGACCCTCCCTCCCTCTTTCAGAAAAGAAAGAAAGAAAGAAAGAAAGAAAAATAAAAGCTGTAGGGGCTGAAGAATCTCTCCTTTACTAGCTATAGCTACTAGTGATCCTTTTATATCTATGTAGATTACTTTGGCACCATTAGAATGAGATCGATCCCTGCATGCGCAAAATTATAATTGACGAAGTTATTATGTACTTACTTTCTTTCACTGTGCTTCACCTTTATTTACTCAATAAATTAATTAAACTCGTGAACCCGCTCGAATAATGGAACCAAAGCTAGCTCTAGCTAGCTAAACTGGAAATTCTGAATAACTGGTACAAATATGCGGAGAGAGAGAGAGAGAGAGAGGTAGGTGAAACACAAGCTTCTCTAAAATTGGTTTCAAATATCTAATTAATTCAAAGATTTTCTATGGTACAAATTCTGCAGGAAAAGTAAAAAACAATTGTGCATCATCACTGACATTTCTCATTGCTAGCTATTTACACCTCATCATTGTAGGAGGCTGACAAAGAGAGAGAGAGAGAGGGAGAGATATGATTGATGATTTGCTGAAACTTCATTGCAGCAATGGTTGAAGATGCTTGCTTGCTTTGCTTTGCTTCAAGTTGGAAAAATATTAATGGCTGATGTCGAAAACTTAAACCAATTGCAAATTAGTCATGCCAGCAGAGAAGCATAACCACACATCTCCTAATGATGTAGAGCCTCCCTTTCTGCTGTCTAAGATAACCTCCAAGCTTTCTGCATGAAACCCTATTGCTCTTCTTGTTGGACTGATCAGCTGCCATGGCTGCACCTGTTAAGCTTCAAATCTCTCTCTTGCGTTTCTTCTCCTCCTAGAGTTTGCCTTAACACACAGAGACTTGTAGCAACTTGGTTTTGGTATGTTTGAGAGGAGAGGCAAGAAGGGGTTGATATAAATAGAGGGGTCTGTGGTCCAAGGGTTCCAAAAGAATTATGCACGAAAGCTAGACCAGGCCCCCACCCAACCCAACCCCAAATTCCAAATTCCATGCACTTAAAATTTTTCAATTTCCAATTTCCAATTGCCAAATTACCCCCCAACCCACCTCTTCTATCTCCCTGACACGTCATCCTCTTCACCAACATTTATGTGGGCATCAACCACCGAGAAAATTGGTCGGCCATTCATCAAAAAGAAAAGAAAAAAAATCCTCAGAAATTTTTGAGTTTCTTAGATATTTGAGCAATTTGGCATGTCAGTTTTCCCCAGACCCTGAATTATTAATATTTCGTGACAAAATTTTGTTGTTCCTTTGTCATGTCTTGTGACTGCATGCTGCACAAGGAAAACAAGCATACTTGTTGTTATTGACCAAATAAATAAATAAAACAGAAGCATACGTAATTGTTCATATAATTTCATGATGAACTCTGCTCCATATATCGACTCTTCAAGAGAAATAAAACGAAAGAAAACCCTGCGCTCCCATATCGTACGTGAAAAAGTTCCACTTATAGTCTATTAATTTTTGTTACACATTATATTTTTTGAAAAATTACTCCTCAGGAATTGTCATGGGTTCGAATCCTAGCATCTATGTAGTGTGTGTGA